TTACTGCGGTTCTTGGATTTTGAAAGACATTTACAGAACTTCAGGTAAGTTCGCTGATCTTTAGAGATGTTTGCACAGCTTCAAAAAAAAAATAAGAAAAACTTCAGAATACTTCCTAAAACTTCCGGAAAGCTCAAAAATTTCTAGATAATCTTTCAATTCTTTAGAAAATTGTATAGATGTTCAGAGATATTTGCAGATATTCATTGAATCATGAAAATCTGCAGAGAAAATTACAGAACTTTCGAGAAGTTTGTAGATTATTAGAAATTTTGTGAACATCAGAGATAATTGTTGATCTTCAAATATCTTAAATCTTCAGGGATTCAGGAACTTTGTAGGTTTTTAGGAAAATTTGCTGAACTTCTGAAGAACACACAGAACGTCAAAGAAATCTGTAGAACTACCGAGACATTTGCAGATTGTCAGGAAAGATTGTTGATCTTTAAAGAAATTTTACCGGAGAACAGAAACAAAACTTCAGGGACGTCAGAAGATTTGAAGACCTTGCAGAATTGAGTTGTTAACAGAAATTTTCAGAACTCAAGGAATCATGTATATCTAGTGAGAACTTTTCCCACTAGCTTGTCTAAAGTTGGTATCGACATCCGGGTGAAGTTTTGAAATCCATTTTCTTCTTCATATCGCAGCTCTTGATGGACAAGATGAGCCAAATCCCTGCCGGTGTTCCTTCTGAGCAACCATTTCCTACTCCACAATGTTCACCTTCTCTTTCTCATTTTATTTAAAATAATAAAAGCAAATACGTATGCCGAAACTAGAGCAATTTTCCGGTAATTCATGATGGAAGTATTTACTTTTGATTCATGATACAGTTTTGTTTTGAAATCTAAATTGACGTTCTTTCGACATGTGCAAGCAGTGTGAACACCAGCAAACTGAGGGGTTCGATAAAATAATAATGTGTATAATTTGTATGCACCTGGAATTTTTTTCATCCGACCTGGAAAAACCTGGAAAACTCAGGGAATTTGATTCCTTGGATTGAGTAGACACCCTGGAACAATAATACGTGTAAATTAATGTTTTAACACAGAAATAAACAATACTTTAACAAACAAAAAATGAGCGTTAAATGCGTGTCCGATGAAAAATATACACTGAAAAAAGTTTTCACCTAGTTTCTAATAGGAACGCACATAATATTTTTCCAATAACAAAAATAATTATTTTTATCTGAATATCACATAGCATAAGAAATTCTATATGAGATATCATATAGATTTCATTGGACACATAAAGTTCATGTGATTTAGTGGTGCAATTTCCAATAATGGGATCACATGAAAGTTATGTGAAATTCACATGGATATTTTCCACTGGCTATGTGATTTATTTTATGAGTGTACAAGTGTACATACATTGTCTGCACTGAGGCAAACAAACTTAAGAATTTCATAAGGCTCGACTTATGAACGACACATATGAATTTCATGAGCGTGACTTATGAATGATTTTCGTCTAACATAAGGTAGCTCTTGTACGCCTTTAACCTTTCCCAAGCGTTGAAAGACGTCAACACACGGGTTTCGTATTCTCACCGTCCATGGTTCGGTTCCAGTTTGCTTTGTTTTATTATTTTTGGTCAACATTATTTTTCATAAGGGCCCATGCATTAATTATGTCACGCTAAATCGAGGACAAATTTACCCCCCCCCCCCCGTCCCCCCTATCGACACGTTTTTTCTATACCTAATGCGTTGCTTGTCACAAAATCTTAGATCCCTCCTCCCGCTTAGAGCGTGACATAATATATGCATCAACCCTAATGCAATGTGGCCCTGCTCTCCCGCTTTCGTATTTGGTGACTACAATCAAGCTGGTCTACAGTGGCGCTTTACAGACAGTGGCATACCAATAATTGATCCACTGCTTTCGCATATGCCGGTTGCTTGCTGTGCTCTTTTGGACGGTTTTAACTTTTACGGGTTCACACAAGTGAATACTTTTCCGAACCGAAATGGACGTTTGCTAGATCTTGTCCTGGCAAATGATTCCGCACTACCGGGCACTTCTGTTTCCTTGCCCGTCGAGCCACTGATTGATCTAGATGCCGATCATCCCGCTCTCGTCGTGTCATTTAGTTTACCTGCGCCGATTCTTTTTACGCCGTCATCTGAGTGCTACTCTTTGGACTTTCGCCGGGCCGATTATGTTGCATTGAACAATGCGCTTGCGGAAATTGATTGTCAATTTATCGAAACTGCCGCTAGCGTGAATGATGCAGTGGATTTTTTCAGTGCTGCACTGGAAGATGCTATTTTCCGCATTGTCCCAGCTCGACGACCTCCGCTAAAGCCTGCATGGTCTAACCCACGCCTACGCGTGCTAAAACGTCAACGCTCTGCCGCCCTCCGAAAGTATTGTAACTCTCGCTCGCCGTACTACAAACGACTGTTCAATTTTGCGAGTCGTAGTTATCGAAATTACAATTGTTTTCTCTATAATCGACACGTGAGACGCACGGAAGCGAACCTTCGCACGAATCCGAAAAGTTTTTGGTCGTTTGTCAACTCAAAACGGAAGGAATCCGGATTGCCTTGTTCCATGTTTCTCGGGAATGACTCGGCTAATAGTGAAAGAGAAAAATGCGACTTGTTTGCTCGTCATTTCAAGCAAGTGTTCAACGATTTCTCCGCTTCGCCAACACAAGTGCTGGATGCTGCTGTTGGGATGCCACGTGATGTGTTTAGTTTCGTTATTCCGCGCATTTCAGAAGACATGGTGATAGCCGCAACACGCAGACTGAAGCTATCGTTCGCCTCCGGACATGACGGCATTCCGTCATCAGTTCTAAAACACACATGTAGCCAATCTCTGCCTTCCACTTGCGAGGCTATTCAATCTCTCGGCACAGCAATGTGAGTTCCCCTGCAGCTGGAAACTTTCTTATCTGTTCCCTCTGCACAAAAAAGGAGATAAACGGAATGTCATAAATTATCGTGGAATCACCTCCCTGTGTGCCTGCTCAAAACTGTTCGAGATTATCATAAATGGTGCTCTGTTCGCACGCTGCAAAAATTATATCGATACAGAACAACACGGTTTCTACCCGAAGCGCTCCGTGTCCACGAACCTGGTGCAGTTCACTTCTAACTGTCTGCGATGCATGGATTCAGGATGGCAAGTCGATACTGCGTATATGGATCTAAAAGCTGCATTTGACACGGTGGACCATAATATCCTGCTGGCCAAGCTGGAGATACTTGGCATCTCGTCAACTACTGTGGATTGGTTCAGATCTTACTTGGTGAATCGCTATGTACATGTCAAGATTGGCGCGTCGGAATCGGATGTTTTCTCAAACAACTCGGGAGTCCCGCAAGGCAGTAACCTAGGACCGCTAGTATTTTCGATCTTTTAAAACGACGTCGCCTTGCTGTGCTGATACCATCAGGATGCCGCGTTTTCTATGCAGACGATACGAAAATCTACAAAATTATTAAAAGCCTCTCGGACTGCTGGGATCTCCAGAATATGTTAAGTATTTTTGCTGACTGGTGCTCCAGAAATTTGATGAGTCTAAGCATAGAAAAATGTAACATTATTTCCTATTACCGAAAAATCGAACCAATCATGTTTGACTATGTTCTCTACGGACGCTGTCTTGCTCGTGTAGAGCACATAAAGGATCTCGGCGTTACCTTGGACTGCAGACTCACTTTCAGAATCCACTACAATGACATCATCTCCAGAGCTAATCGACAATTGGGCTTTATTTTCAAAATTGCCGACGAGTTTCGTGACCCGCTATGCCTCAGGTCACTTTACTGCTCGCTTGTGCGATCCTTATTGGAGTCAAGTTCAGTTGTTTGGTGCCCTTTCCATGCTAGCTGGATCACTAGAATTGAATCCGTTCAACGCAAGTTTGTGAGATATGCTCTTCGTTTCCTCAACTGGCGTGACCCAACGAACTTGCCACCGTACGAGGAGCGTTGCCGTCTCCTGGGAATCGAGCCATTAGAGGTGAGACGGACGGTCGCTCAAGCTATGTTCGCTGGAAAGCTGATCACAGGTGACATTGACTGCCCAACACTGCTGTCACAACTAAATATGTATGCCCCTGAGAGGTCTCTTCGTCAACGCGACTTTCTGTTTTTGGAACCACGGAGCCGGAATTATACACAACACGAGCCAATTCGAGCAATCAACCGGCAATTCAACAACTTTTTTTATATGTTCGACTTCAATGTATCAGCTGACGTGTTTCATCATCGGCTACTTGGCCTTTTCCGTACCGTTGACCGTAACTATTTAGTTTAAGTTTTATTCATTTAGACAGTATTTGTCAGTTGAATTTTTCAATAAACAATAAATAATAAACAAAATTCATATGTGGTTCTTATGGAATTCTTACGTTCTTTTGCCTCAGTGTGTGTTAAAAGTATAATGGTTTACATTCGTTCCCCTTGGTAATTAGATGGAAATTACTAATCCTTCTCTCTTTCTTTATATAAATTCAATGTTGTTCATATTAGCGGGGGTCCACGGTCCTAAGTATTCCATACTTTTAAAAATGCTCTCAAAATTTTCTTAGTCAAAACTCACCTCAGAAATACTTTTGAAGTCTCTTCATAAATCCCTTAGAATTGTCTTTATAATATTCCTAATTTTTCAAAAAAATATCTCATAATACGATTGCTTTGGGTATTTAGTGTGTTAAAACGTTTTCTTGCTCCGAGATTTTCAACAATTTTCCCTAGATCTCTTTTAAATCAAGATCAAGATTTTTACAACAATTTCTTAATTCAATCTCTCACTCTTCACAGTTCAGCCTAAATACTGACTCATTCAGCCCGATAGCCAAGTGACCCGACAAAAATCAGTATATTCTGGGGCTAGAAAAACATGAGAGTATTGAAGAATTTGTATGATGGATTATTAAAAAAATTCAACTCGTTCTGACATTCTAACAATAGTGCATAAAATGATACCCGAGTTATTTAATGATATCAAAATTCCATTCCTCCTTTTAACAGGCATCCACCCCGGTAGACTGCCAGGAGATCCTCATCGGCGAACTATTTGAACGACCACCCTCCGTAGTGGAAGGCCACGTGGCAGACAGCGCTGGCTTTGTGTGCAACATCTGTTCCAAGCGTTTCGATGAACCACGAAAGTTGGTTCGCCACGTGGAATGCCACAGCCGGCGGCGCTTCAAGTGCGAACAGTGTGGACTGTTTCTGAAATCTCGGTCCAGTTTCAATTCGCACCAACAGAGGCACCGGAATGGGAAGCGATTTCAGTGTGACGTCTGTGGCAAAGGGTTTGCGGCAGCCAGGGATTTAAAAAATCACCGAAAAGTTCACGACGCGCAGGCGGAACGGTTTCGATGCGACGAGTGTGGGAAGGATTTCGGTAGGATCTATTCACTGATGGATCATAAAAGGTTACACAGTGGAAAGGAGGTATTCAGCTGTGATAAGTGCGATAAGGTTTTCCCCAAGCGGAGAAATCTCCTGTTGCATGAGAGATCGCATTTGGTGGACGAAGAGGTGAGTTAATAAAACCATTTTGAGTGTATTTTGGCGTTCTTTATCGGTAGATGACCAACCTGGCACAGTTTTGTTTGTTTGTGGCATGTCATCGGAAATCATAACTGTACGCGTTTTAGCTTACAACTATTTAAATGCAATTGCTTATGTTTCACAACAGCAAGTCTTCCAAGTATTCGTCAAACTCATCTTCTCTTGATTTTTCCTCCACTTCTGGAACTACACAAAGAAAAAAAAAAACAATGATTACAAGATCGTTGCGATTGACTGAATGATGATACTGACCCTTAGTCCAGCAACTATCCGGTGCTGCAGAGGAACTACTTTGAACTTCGTCTTCCCGTGGTGCTATTGCTTCTATCGAGGATTGATCTTCAACAATTTCACGATCGTCTTGCAGTTCTTCTGTTGAAATCGGAATATCACGTCCAGGCAGGTCGACATTCGGTTCGCCGTCCTTTCTCCTTCCGAAATGCTTCTCCTTTCGTACACGCTTTTTCAGCCGCTTGATCTCGCGCTTCTTCGAATGGTAGTTCAGCTTGTCGGAACACGAGGGACACAGTCCTTGGAGGCACAAACTTCATTAGAATCAAACCTGACCGAAAGAAAGTGTACCGACTACTCACGCAACTTGACCAGTGCATTCTTCTTCGTTCCGTGCTCCAGATAGGCAAAGTTGACTTCCCAACTCCTGAGGCCATCCCGTTCTTCGCACGATCGACCACCACAGATGAACTGTCCCTTGCCGAGCAATACTTCCTTCTCGATTCGCCAGCGCATTGCCACCTGCGGTTTTTTGGATTATGGGTAAATTGTGCGTATTTTTCTTGTATTTTATTTTCGGCCTTGTTGAATACATTTAAAGAAAAAAAGATCAATATAGAGCTGGTAAAAGGGCCTAACAGCTTCTGTAAACAATGCCTTCTCTAGATGATTTCTAGAAAGTCAAGACTAGCCCACGTAAACCAACATCACCAGATTGGAACCTTAAAATATATTTTAAATTCTATTGTTATTAAAATGGTGTGTGTTGTGAATGGCTGTTCAGTCTCGACAAAATCAAAATACTGCTATTTAATTTTTGTCCATGGACAAAAATTAAATAGCAGTATTTTGATTTTGTCATGACTGAACAACCATTCACAACACACATCAATTCCCAGTAGAACCGTTCCATACACATTAAAATGTCGAGCCACTCACCTTATTCTCCTTGTACCGGCTGAGATCCGCAATGCAGTACTCCCGGAACAGTTTGTCGTAGTATTTTTTGGCCAGTTGTTTCTCCCACGAGTCCACTGTTTCGCCGTCCCACAGGAAGCGATGGTGCTCCCGAAGCACATCGCGATCGGTTTTATCGCGGGACGTGTCCCGCTGCAGCAATTTGGTGGCACCCGGTTTCGTGAGGATGTACTCGTTGATCAGGTGCTTGTGCAGCTCGTACGGATTCAGGTTGGCCAACCGGCGGGACATGTTTCCCCATTTATTTTAATCGAACGCGATTTGTAAACAGAAACTCGTACCGCGATGCGTAAACTATACTGCCCCTTCAGGAACGTACCGCACCGGCGTCATCTGCGGCTATAGGGAACGCAATGGAACAAGGAACGTTGTGACCTTGTGAGTTTGGTTTCTGTTTAGCTACGGATTTTCGTTGCTCTCGAAGAAAGCGTACTGGTGAAAAGTGAAATTTTTAGGTGAAAGTCAGTCGTCTTCGAATCACGATGGGTGTCTGTAGATTGTGCACCAAAAGTTCCCTCGCCAATGGACGACTTGCGGACCGTTTCTTTCGGGAGAAGGTTCTGGACATAATCTGCATGTGGGTAAGTTAAAAGTCTTAATGAAATCAGCAAAAAAAAAAAAGAATGTTCATTGCCAGCTGCTTTCCAGGTTGACGTCAACGATGCCCGTCAATCAAAGGATGTTTGCGATTCATGCTTTAATTTAGTCGAAAAGTTCTACTCCTTCAAACGTGACTGTCGGTCATTCCAACTGGCATCGAAAGAGCAGATAAGCAGTTCCGATAAGAAATCCACACCAAATGAAGCCTGTCCGCTAGTTATTAAATTTGTCGATCCTGCTAAAGTGGAGAAAGCCTCCAAAGAAGAATATGCTGAGGTTGATTCTGAAGATGAGTTCTTCCGAAATCTACCTCCACTGAAGAAGCCCAAGAAAAAGTACGTTACGAGAAAATCACCCAAACCACCGAAGGTGGATGTAAACGGGGAACGCATCGTCGTTCCCCGCCCATGGAGGAGAAAGTTCAAAGAAGCCATTGACCTCCCACCGGACGAGTACCGTCAGTATGTACAAGGAAAAACAAACCCGAAGAAGCCAACCGTGGTGTGTGAGCTGTGTGGCCGTACCATCGATATCTGTCGTATTGATGGCCACCGGAATCGACACATGGGGCTGGAGCCCTACGAGTGCGATGTGTGTGGCGACAAGTTCAACTGTAAGTATAACCTGAGAACGCACCACCGACGAAATCACGTCAAGGGCGAGGAGTGCACATGTTCCACTTGTGGGAAGCTCTTCATCAGTCGGCTGGCCCTGCAGTCGCACATGAAGAGCGTTCACGCGGAAAGGAAGTTTGCCTGCAGCTTGTGTCCGCTGAAGTTTGGTAATAGGTAGGATATTTACGTTCACTTTTTGAAGGTTGTAAATTAAGGGATGACTTTTTTCTTCTTCCACAGGTCCACTTTAAACTACCACCTGAAAATTCACAACCAGACGCGAGACTTCAAGTGTCCCCTGTGTGGGAAAGCATTCTACTGCAAATCGGTGTGGAACATACACATGCGAACGCACAGTGGCGAAGCGCCTTATCGGTGCAGCGTGTGTAGTGCGGCCTACGTGCACAGGAACATGTACGTAGCTCACATGAACAAGAACCATCCGGGCGAACCGCTGATGTACCTGAGTGGCAAGAAATCGTTCAAGGAATCTCTGCTTAACAAGGGCGTATGAGTGCGTGTGGATGCAAATAGTACGGTTGGTGAATTGTTTTAATCCGAACTTCCCTTTGATTCTGGGGTTTGCTGGTGTTGTTAAATATGCTTTGAACCATTACCCATTGTTTCACCAAACGGAATTGCAATTTCGTTCTATCAAAAGTATGCTTTATTTCCTCTACATTCTATAAACTGCGCCTTCTAAACCCCGAACATCAAACTTCAATTTCTTCCTCCAGCAGCGTGGTCTGGATCCAGTCCACAAAGTTGGACACCTTGACGTACGCTCCCGGTATTCCATCCTCTCCACAGCCCAGTCCCCACGCAACGATACCGGCCTGAACGAAGTGATCCCCGCTTTTGCAGGCCAACGGAGAACCGCCGTCGCCTTTGCAGGCGTCCACTCCGGGTTCGCCGCCTGCACACATAAAACTCGAATGCAGCCGGAAGAACGGGCCTAGCCTGGTTGACTTGAATATTCGCTTACACTGTTCACGTGAGACCACCGGAAGCTCCATCTTTTTCAACACCTCAGAATACTTTCCCGCGGGGTTGAAGTTTTCCTTGCCCCAACCGGAAACCATACAACGGTTACCGTCGAAGTTGTCTTCTGCAGTTGGTAGGCAGATCGGGTTGATGTGCTTGTTTAGGTCGGCTTCATCATCCAAGATCAACAGAGCCAAATCATTGTGGAACTTTTTATCCACGAAATTCTTGTGAATGATCATCTTATGCACACCGTATTGCTAGAAAATTAATACGATTAGCATTCAATCCTGTCAACAATCATAGAAGCTTGCCTGATATGCTAGGGGTTCGTTCTCCGTCACCGTATCCCATTCGCCCAGTCGAACCACGACGTCATCCAGTACATTATGATCCCGCATGCAATGAGCCGCCGTTAGAACAACCTGTTGATGAATGAGTGATCCACCACAAAAGTATTCAAAGGTTTCCTTTCCCAGAAGCGATTTTCGTTGCAAAAGTGACGCCATCCAGGGAAACTCTGCAAACTGAGCAATGGAACTATCTTTCACCCGATAGATGTACCCATCGGGATGGTTCGTACCGCAGCTCGGCGGTGGCGGTTGAATTGGATCTTCCGTTACTACGGGTACGATGTCGTGTCCTCCCCCTTTGGACACGCTTTCCGAAGCGCAGCAACGCATTAAAAATTCCTCACATGGGTCGTTCGCGGGATCGACCCTAATGCAGAGTTAAATAAGAAACGATCAGTAAGCCTCAGGGCACACCAACCTTAAAGATCAATAATAAATACATACCATACATCTACCACATAGTCATCGAAATCGCTCATTCTGAAAATAATTATTGATTGAAATTAGAATAAGAAAATATTATGTCTGTATTTAAGCTAAACGTGCCCAAACATAGTTAACCTACCTTGCTTGGAAAATGTTCTCACCGTCGGTGTTGATTGTCCCATTTAGGCATAGATAGGTCTGAACGCAGTATCCTCCTGGGCATGTCTGCAAATGTACCGAATGGGAAATGCAAGATTCTACTACACTGGTAAACTGGTCTCGGAAGGTTTCTTGAATAATTTTGTAAATTTATTTTTAGCTACATTTTCAAACAAAATCTGCTTCCCCAGATGCACTGCGGCTAGAAAATCATCTCGAGAAGGTTGAATACAAATATTCAACTTTCTTGACATTATTTTTGTTGTAAGAAATGATGTTTGTGCTTTTTGTTTTGCGTGTACTTAATAAATTTCAGAACATTTAAAATTTAGCTAAAATCTTCAAAATCTTAAAAAAAAAATTTCAACACAAACTTGCAAGCTTAAACGTAAACATTAATACACATTCAGTCAGTGTATGAAAAAAACCGGTTAAATCTAGCAGAACAACTACAAACGGTGGGAAAAGTCGAATGTAAATATTTCCTTTGGGATTCCCCCGAGCTGTACCGTGATGCGCGAGTAGAATCACTGCGCTGATAAAAGCAAGTACCTTTGACCTGTTATGCTTTGTTCGCACTACCTACGGAGTTATTGGCAATCTCCAATCTGATTTGAGTCCGATCGTAGTTCGACTAAAATGTGTTTCCGAACATGAGCAAAGCAAAAAAACGGGTACTCACCTTAAAATCCTTCAGATAATCTTTAGTTGATTCCTCCGACGATTCTGCACAGGATACCCAACGGGTAAGCTGCGTTATCAGCAGCACTAGAACCACACTGATCAATCTCATCCTGACTGGAGCACGTGTTTCCTCTTCACCTATCGGTAGCAGACTGAGCTCGACTATGTTCACTCGGGAGATTAAGAAGGCACGTCGTCTCGCAACGCTGGTTAATCGCCTCTAAGTGGTGCGGTGCGGTGCGGTGTAACATCTACCACCGAATCCAACTGAGATGTGACCTCTTCAAACCTCTTCAAACTAAGGTTACAATTTTAATACAAACACACTTGCTTCTAGTTACATTGTAGACCTCTGAACTCTAAAAGACCAGATGGTCCCGAAGAAACGAGCTCAACTTTTTGGCTCAGCTCTGGTTCTATCTTTGGTCCCAAGCTAATCGATGCACCCCTCGAAACATAGGAAAATCCACGAACCCCTCATTTGACCTGTCAAACTTTCATAGCGAATCGAAATAAACATTGTGTAGTTCTATAGAATGTCGACTAGAATGAGGTACGTTAATGGATTTATTGGACTTAGGATTACAGTGTAATGAAAGGCCAGGTTTAGAATACGAATAAGAATATATTGACTTAAGATGTTGTCACATCGAGAGCACATTTACGATTAAACAAAATGGTTCTTTTGCACTTTCTTCTCTCTACTACGCAGTCGACCCTGCTGACATACCGATAGGGATGTACACGCACCACACGTATACTGTAGGGGTGGCACGATTGTTGCCTCTCCAATACTCCTCCTCAACCAATGCTGTCACCACTTGAAAACAATCCCATCATTTCAGCAAACTTCTTCTGCTTGATCGCACCAAGCGGTTTTGTAAGCACATCTGCTACCATATGCTCCGTCGGACAGTACTTTAAGTTCAACACCTTGTCGTTACACATCTGCCTAACGTAATGCGATCTGGTTTCAATATGCTTCGAACGACGACTCGTACGTTCGGAGCTCGCAAATGTGATGCAACTCTGATTGTCCTCCAGTACTGTTACAGGACCCTGACATGGTTCCCCAAACTCCTTGAGCAGATTCACAAGCCACACCAATTCCTGAGTTGCTTCGCTGAGCGCCACATACTCCGATTCCATCGAAGACAGAGTGACACTCGTTTGCTTTCGACTGCACCACGAAACGGCGGCACCAGCGAACATGTACACAAAACCAGTGGTTGACTTCCGGGTACGGATATCACCAGCCCAATCCGCATCAGAAAATCCGACCAGGTCACCACCAGTACTGTCATACCGCAATCGCCAATCCTTAGTCGTCTTCAGGTAGCGCACGACTCGCTTCGCAGCCACCCAGTCCGCCTCTGTCGGTGAACTTACTCTTCGCCCAAGTATTGATGCACTTACTGCCACATCCGGTCGAGCACAGACCGCTATGTACAGTAGTGCTCCGATGAGACTTCTGTACTTTGTTCCATCAGACAGCAAAGGACTCTTGTCCTCCACCTTCACGTATCCGGTTTCCATTGGAGTTTTTACCCCTTTTACATCACGAAGTCCGAATTTCTCAACGACTCTGTCAATGTATCCCTCCAAAGACACACTGTATCCACCTGCATCACAATGTACTTCCAAGCCAAGGAAATAACTCAGATTGCCCAGATCCGTGATATCGAATTGCTTCTTCAACGCTTCGTACACCACTTCAATTTCCGCTTCTTCCTCACAACCAACGAGAATATCATCTACATATACCAGCAAGTAGATCCTTTTCCCTTTCACTATCTTCGTGTACAGACAGCTATCGGATGTGCTTTGCTTGAATCCCATGCTCTGAAGAACATAATCCAGTCGTTTGTTCCAGCACCTAGCAGACTGCTTCGCCCGTAAATGCTCCTCCTCAAGTGACACACCATGTTCTCCTTGCCCTTTACCACGTGTCCGGGTGGTTGCACCATGTACAACTCTTGGTCAAGTTGGCCATGCAAGTAGGCGGTTTTCACGTCAAAGTGTTTTAACCTCATTCCTCTCTTACTCGCCGTTGCCAACAGAAGTCGAAGCGTTGTGTGTGTAGTTACCGGTGCAAAAACTTCATCGTAGTCTTCACCGTACTTCTGGGAAAAACCCTGCGCTACCAGGCGTGCCTTGTGCTTGGTTAACGCACCAGCTGCGTTCCGTTTCAACTTGAAAACCCAGCGGCAACCGACAGGCTTACGTCCCTTAGGTAAGTTAACCAATTCCCACGTTCCATTTTCAGAATGGGATTTCAACTCATCCACCATGGCTGCATTCCATTCTTCCTTTCGTTCACAGGTCAGTGCTTCCTTCAAGTTCTTCGGTTCCACTTCCTCCCCGGATACAGTCCCAGCTGAAAATATTTCCTCAATCAATCTGCTTGGGGGAACGCCCTTCGTGGAACGCATTGAAATTTCGTCCAACGGAAAACCATGAAATGGAGAAACACCATCAGAAGCACTACCATACATTGTCGAATCCAGATCCGAATCATCATTTTCATCATTTGTCTCCGAAGATCCATCAGAATCCTCTTCCTGATCTGATTCATCCGAAGGCATCACCAGTGGCACGTCGAAAAATTCTCCTGTGGCTGGAGACTCAGCTTTTGGAAACGTACGGACGGCTTCTTTCACGCTGCACAGCTCCAGAAATTCTGCATCTCTGCTGATCGTGACATAGCCCGTCTGCACATCCAAGAAACGATACGCTTTTCGTCCCTCCGCATAACCAACAAAAATCAACTTTTCGGACTTCATATCCAGAGCCTTCCGTTTTTCCTTCGGAACGTGCACGTATGCTTCACTACCGAAAATCTTCAGATGATCGTACGATGGCTTCTTCTTGTTCCATATTTCATACGGTGTACGGTCAATCGACGACGATGGGCAGCGATTCTGCAAATAGTTCGCAGTGTTGATCGCTTCGCCCCAGAACTTCTTCTCCAGACCCGACACAGCCAGCATACATCGCATCATCTCCTTGAGATATCGGTTCTTCCGTTCAGCCACCCCGTTTTGCTGTGGCGAATACGGTGCCGACATCTGCTGAACAATACCATTGTCCGCGAAAAACTTTTTCAAACTACCACCAGAATACTCACCACCCCCATCCGACCTGATGCACTTGGGGTAACGTCCGAAACGATTTTTTATCAAATTACAGTATTCACGAATCTTCTCTTCAGCATCCGATTTGCGCTGAAGCAAGTAAATCGCCGAATAACGACTGTAATCGTCGACTAGAATAATGTAGAAGCGATTCCCCCGCGGTGTTGCCACTTCCATCGGATCACCCAAATCACTGTGCACAAGTTCACCAACTTCATTAGCCCGACTCTTCGAAGCTTTCGGAAATGAGTCCCGACTCCCCAGACAACCAGAAATCGTATAACAATGTACACACAGTATCGTAAATTGCAACAGTTTAAGTCAAAATCGCATATAAGAATAGCATACTTCGCATTATGTTTAAGTTAAATCGTATAGAATGCAAATTTCCGACCTATATGCCATGACTCATTTTTCAGTCGTACTGTATCACAAATTAAATCGGATTACATCGTAAGACTTTTCAAAATGAGTTTGTTATTACAGATTAAATCGTTTATGATGTTAAATCAACTCGTTTAAAATTAAATTTAAATATGCACGTATATGGCCTCCACTTTTGTACGTATAAGCCATTTATTTGCATTCTATACGAATTGTTCGTTTGTATATATGTTTGTATATCATGAAAACAACTTTGAATATACGTGCATTCTGGTTGTCTGGGTCATCTTCCCCTCGCAACATGGTCCACACACCGATTTCACATTACATTGTCCAATCTTCAAGCCATGACCAAGACTCTCACGCACTATTTTTATTACAGCCTTCGAATCACGGTGCCCCAGGCGACGATGCCACAGATGCTCACACGAATCGCTATGCTTATCTTCAGCCGACAGCGCTCTATCCGGAAACTGTTTAAGGTGATACAGGCCACCCTTCCGTTGACCAACCAAGACCACTTCGTTTCCTTTGAACACTTTACAAGCGGACTTCTCGAACAACACAGTGAGTCCTAAATCAGCAATCCTACTTACGGAGAGCAGATTGCTTGCGAGCGAAGGAACATGAAAAACGTTCTCCAGTTTCACATTCACTCGAGTGCCATCACCGTTCACACAGGCAATCTTACCTGAACCAGCACCAGCTGATTTAATTTTCTTTCCATCAGCCAAACAGATGGTCGCACTTTTGGAACCGTCGAGTTCTCCAAGGATAGATGCGTCATTGGTCATGTGAGAGGTAGCACCTGAATCAAGATACCACACACTTGCTTCTCCAGTACTCCCAGCCGCAAGACACATCACGAACCTTTCATCACACTCGGCAGCCACATTAGCTTTTCCATTCTCTTGACGATGTTGGGCCAACTTTCGGCAATCACGCCGGAAATGTCCCTCCTTCTTACAGTAGTGGCACACTTTTTGTTTCTCCTTATTCACTTTTTGTTTCTCACTGAATAATTTATGCTGCCTTCCACTAGCCGAACCCGTGGCGAATGCACTCTCTGCTTCAGGAGACTTTTCAACTCGCCGTCGACCCTCATCCAGCAGCTTCCCTTTCACGAAATCAACTGTGAGGTCGTCATCCGGACGACTCTCAAGTGCCATGATCAAGCCATCGTACGACGAAGGTAGGCTAGAAAGCATCAATGCCACAAACCAGTGATCTTTCACCTCTTCGCCTAGCGCCGTGAGCCGAAGCCTTAACTCCGCCATCGATTTCAGGTGCTCCGCCATACTTCCACCTTCTGGCATACGTAACGATACCAACTGACGCACAACATGTATTTTGCTCGAAAGAGATGCCCGCTCATGACAGTCCTTCAGAGCATCCCACATATCCTTCGACGTCGTTTTCTGCATGACGTGAATCAGCTGCGTATCTTCCAGTGCCAGTCCGATCAATGCTTGCGCCTTCTCGTCGTTCGAGGTCCAGGTCGCATCAGCACTTGCAGGTTTCGGATCGGTCACCATTTTCAGCAGCTTTTCACGCGTCAATAGCAGCCGCATCTTGAACTTCCAGATGCCATAATTGTGATCGTTCAGTTTCTCAATCGAGACTTTCGTATCCGCCATTTTGTTTCCGGC